TACATCTCGTACCTGTAACAAATCTTGAGAACTATTCTGAATTGTGAGTACTTTTAGATTACCTTTCTATCCCTAGTGTTTTCATGCGGGGTCCTCGTATTTCTCACCTGGTATACCGGAACATACATGGTATCATACCATTGGAATTACGGATTTTAGAGTGCACTATTCCAGAGGTGTGATGGAACTAGACCTTGCTTTCCTTCCCGGTCTTCATGACTAGTTTTACAGAGATTTCCCAAACACCTTACTAGGACTTCCCCGGCCATGCAAGCAACCTAGTCAGCCAACTGTTTGCTAGCGGTATTCGCCGGTGCCTATGCAACCAAGCAAAAGCAAGTTCTGCCTTGAGACAGAAATCTGAGGAACTGGGAGATATTTTCCTATTGTATTTATTTCTTCAGCTTCTACCATTCCCCACCGGTGTCTCCCTAGGTACTCGAAAGGCCAGGGGAACCTCGGGAGGGTATGCGACCCATAGCGGCAATGTCAGCAAGACTCCAGGTGGCTGTCGGGAAGACAAGACGGGATGGGACCACTATTGGTTATTCTTTTTGTCTGACAACCTTTGGGTACTGCAAGCCTTGGCAGTGGCCACCGGCGAGACCAGGGAGGACATTATTTTTGATGGTATGATCCCAATAGCTGGATATGGGGGAGACTGTATAGTGCTGATGAGATGTATGGGGGAGCATGAGTATATGTATTAGGGCTATGGGTCCCCAGTTAGTTGGTGCGACTATATTGTATGTTGTTAGGGGAACCAGCCCTATCAGTGGTGGCTTCCTCCATTGTTTGTATTTAGTCTTCTCTCGGACCTTCCGATTGACAACAAGAACGACTCCTCTCTCCTTACCTTTGGTCTTCATCCACCCCGTGATTCTATTGTCCTTCCTCCACTGCGCCGTGTCTCGCCATCAATTTTACAGTCCGGGAACCATGGCAACTGATGACCCAGTCGACTGGTCGCGTACATGTTGCCTCCCCTGGCCTGATGGGGTGATTTAGGATTGTTAGGGCCCTCGGATATCTGAAGTGGGCCACACTGATCTGCGGAGGGCTTTGTGTGTCTGTGGGGGTCTATCAACCCCAACGGGCTGAAGCCAAAGAGGGGATAGCACAACGGGAAACCACCAGCCCGTTAATATGTATCGCCATACAGATGCTATCCTAGCGTACTTTCGAATTTGACCATCGGAGGAATATAAGACCTACCAGCTCCTCCAAGCCTACCTAAAATCAAGATCTGAGTTGTGTACCTTTTTCATGATGCAACTCGTCAATTAAAGTTTTCCCTGCGCTCTCAACTGCCTCGAGGCTCGAGCGTGGCGGGACTGCAGAGTATAGATGAGCACGGGGATTGCTGGAGACCGTGGAAAATCCAAGCGATACTGGATGACCAGATGTGACGGCAGTGGGATATAGGGACGGCCAGTAGCAGCAGCATAAACAACGGAAACCAGAACCTTCCACTCTTCCTGGAAATCTAGAGAGTCGTTCGGGTGCTATGTGAAGTGAATAAGGATAACGGAGCAAAGTTAAATAAGTATATAAACCCCCCTAGTTGTATGTTAATGAGCCGAGAATATGTTTAGAAGTTCACAACCTATCAATCTCGCCGCACATCCTAGTTTCATCTACCCAGCACCAGCCCCCCCCCCGGTGGTATTAAGTCCCCCAACGAGCTATGCTTCACTCGAACACAAGGTGTCAGCTTCCTAGCAGACTTGATAGGATTTTGTCTGCGTTCCAGTTGCTAGGATAACCGATTATAAGTGCGTGTGATGTTTTCGGAACTCAGCATTGGGGGGATATGGAAAATTCATGATTCCCTCGATAACTTCATTTTCCCAGTCGAATTATTAACCTACCTCGCAATTTTTATAATATCATTCAATGTATCATAGGGGGTTCTTCCCCGGCTATCTATATCCTTATCTGGTTGGGGGTGTGGCGGGGGATGTAATACCTGGGCAACTAGCGCTGTGGCCAGGTGTTTTGTCCAGGGAACAACAGGGCTGCGATCATCCGCCCCAGGTTCGTTGGGTGGGTTTGGATCATGACTAGAAGGGGTGACACGATTCAGTCCACTGTCGGAAGCCTCAAGGACTGACCGCATAGCCCTTTGAGAACATTTCCCAAGGAGAACTGAACTAACAAAATCTCTCCCCGCTGGAGCTGGCAGTTCGCTTCCTTCCGGGGGTTTGCCGATTCGGGAGACAATAGTGGGGACAATGACCGGTTACAACAATCCTATTTAAGAACTCTTCTTGAGACTCCCCAGAGTTGAGCCACAAAGAGCTTCTCGCTTCTCCGACCTAAGGGTTGGTACCTCTTTTAGAAATTCGAATAGCTTCTACGGGGCCATAAAAAGTATAGTGTTGAAGCTGCTCTTATGTCGCGTACTCGAGCACCCGCGCAGCATGAGGGATTGTGCTTTCCGACCGACCAACATGCTATCCGAGTAAAGGCACCGAGAGAAAAACCATAGTGATCATGATTGACATTCATCAGAATAAGAATCAATTACAAGATAAACTAATTCCTCCAAGGATTAAGCCTGTTACACCTCTACAAGTTTGTACCTGCAATAAAGTTTACATGGAATTTCACAGAATCGCTGAATAAGTTCTCCGGTCATGCTCCGGTATACTCCGACTCGGTATAGAGCACCCTATTTTGCGTCAGTAGTAGTAGAGACTCCGAAACGGCTCGGACTCTAATTTTACTTATGGTCTAGCGGACTTGTAGTAATCGTTGTTCTGAAGTGCACAATTTATGAAGTTCTAGTAACGAACAATAGTGCTGCCTTCTAACAGCCACAATGGCCGCCAGAAGTCTTCAAGGTGCCCGCAGTACAGGAGATAGCTTTGTGCTTGAAATCGAACAAAGGGGAATATGGTCTGGTCTCGGACCTTGGGCATGACTGGGACAAAGGGGCAGGGGGATGGTGTGGGTTCAGCGGAAATGGTTCCTGCTAGTGAATGGCTTCCTCCGTTCGGGTGTAGTGTAGTAGTTTCAATGACTTCCAAGCCACGATCCCCTACCTTGTCTTGTGAACAGAATCTCGTTTCGTGACAATTTGATATGCTTTGCTTGCATTGGTGCGGGTAGTCGTTGTTGGAAATCCTGAGATGCTGCTAGGCATGCTCATTCTCTTCCCTCTCCCTCCCCTTCTCTCCCTCTCCCTCCCCATCCCTCGTTTCCCCCCAAACTTGTCGCCCAGTCGTTCGTCGTTTGTTCACTTGTTTGTTCGCTCGTTCGTTCCCTTCCTTGCCCGTTGACTCATACGCCGATGGTTTTGTCTGTTCACAAGATCGTTAGCTTTTCTTTGTTTGTTTGGCTTCTGGAAATGCGCTTTGTGTTGGCGCGATGGTTGGCGTGTTCGTTTGAGTTCCCGGAGCGCGCTTTGCCTTCAGGCTTGTTTGGCTTTCGGGAAACCTCTCCGGCGACGGGAGTCCGGAGGTTTGGAATCCACCGGAAGGAAGTGGCAGAGGGATGGCGTAGAAGGAAGGCCGCGAGGAAGGTGGAAAGCTTTTGTGAGAAGCTGTGGTGTTTGTTTGCTTTCCTTTTGATAGCGCGGGAGTCTTTGGAAGGGGAAAGGAAAACATCCTAGCAAGGGGAAGGTTTGAAGGACTTAGTTTGTTTTCCTAGGTTTGCTTTCCTTGCTTGGACCCACTTTGGAAAGCACTTCGGCAGTGGAGTGCACGGAGGTTTGGATCCGCATGGAAGGGAAGCAGTGAACCGGAAGGAAAGCAGAGAAGCCGGGCGGAGGCTATGGGCGGCGGTGGGCGTCTGTCTTTCCTTTGTTAGCTTTTGTTTGCTCATGGTCGAGGACTTACCTGGTGGGGGGGGGGGGTACGGGATTTTGTCGTTCGTACTTGTAGTTGATGATATATGCTCCCGTCTTTCCCGTTAGTTTATGTTAGTTAGAGAGCGTGCGCGAATAAGAGTTTTTGAGGGTCGAAGAGTTGTGCAAGAGTGGGTGCGAGATAATTAGGAGAGCAAGAGGGGTGAGAGAGAAGTGGAGAGTTTTCCCCGCCCGTGACTTGTGCAATCGCTGTGGTGAGTACGCTTTTGGCGTTTGTTTTCGGTCACAGCTAGTCACTTGTTCGTTTCAATACGCCGGCGATCACGAACTTCGAGAAAGTCGTAACACCAAACTTCTTTTTTCGTGGTTTCGGACTACTTGAAGTGTACAGTGCCGTAACTCCTCAGGCTCTCACAGTATCGCTTCACACGGCGAGCCGCGGACTGTCCCCGGCAATGGTTATGAATTTTTCACTCGTGGGTAGCAAGTCCCGGGCTTATTTACGTAACAAGCTGTGTCTCTAGCTGTAGACTAGCTTGGATAAGGATATATATATGATACCATATTATGATCGCGATGTATGAGGGACAAGGGCCGGGCGTACTCGATAACTTGTTTCTACTGTGATGACAGCAAACTGGGTAATGCCTTGATAAAGTTTAAGGGCTGGGGAAGAGCTGATTCAGAGAATATCGCAAGTTAATAGAGGCTTTAGGCTTCTTGGCAGGACTTAAAGTGATTTTCTCAACCCTTCCCTATCCATTACTAGCCCGCCTAGCGAGATTTTGTTTCAAAATGAGGTTCATTGAAACCCTGCACGGTGATACTGTATTTGTTAGGTTAAACTAGTATTGCTAAAGCAGCACACTCCTACAACCAGTCCTAGAGGCCTCGGGTATCATCAGTTTGCCTTTCAACTACTGGGATTCAAAATTTAGCAGCGTTCTGACCCCCCGAAAGATGTGCTGTTGTTACAGCACACTTAAGGGGGTATATCGAGATGATAGGCCTCGGGGTTAACATAGAGTGGAAGAATGGTACTGTACATGGACTAAAACACTCGCCAAGTTCGACAAGCCTATATAGATAGTGCTCGAGTATGTCACACCCGAGATTCCTTTATATTTGAGAACAAAGAATACTTAGATACTAATACTGAATCTTCAATCGCACTCTCAGGCAACTCAACATCACAAAACCACCTATTATCTTTAGTGCTTGGTTCCTCGTACTCTGCTATCCAAAATGGCATCAGTCCCTTCTGACGGTGTAAGTTCTGATACTGCACCTCTTTCACAAACCCCACAGCCTCCGAACTTAACCGTTGGTACAGAGTACTACCTAACTGAAGGGCTCGAAGGAGTCGAGCGCCGGCGATACTCAGGTCCCAGATCATTCACCAAGGCAATCATGGAGCAAACCAACGATGCACTTTCGGGTGGAGCTGGCCAGTACGCAATTTTTTATCCCGTTACACAAGCTCAACTTACCCAGATCGATCAGATCCGCAGTACACAGTTTAAGGGACTCCGGATGATGTACCTCAACTACGAACAAGCCTTGATTGTTAAAATCATGCTTGGATCCACTCACGAAGTTGCCAATAGGGCGTTTGCGGGCACGGTTAGTGACAAGACATTCCAGATGGGTCTGGGGTACAATTTTGTAGACATGGGAGCAACGACCATACTCGCACCAGGTGGGCGAAAGGAAGGAGATTCTACCTTCAAACCGCTTGAATTCCGCCATCAGAAACACTCTTGGCCCACTCTTGTCGTTGAGTGTGGAGTTTCCCAGTCCCTCGCACGCCTTGTGGTTGATTCCCGGTGGTGGTTGGAGAATTCCGGGGGAGCGGTGAACATCGTTATACTCATTTCTGTAGATGAGACGGCACACAGCATCCATTTGGAAAAATGGGAAACGGGGAGCGTGCTGAACGAGCGGGTTACGAATACCCCTACCCCTGATGCCCCTATCGCCACACCGATAAAAACACAGGAGGTTGACATCGCGGGTGGTGTTGTTACCGGTGGTCCTCTGCACCTAGAATTTAAGAAACTCATGCTCCGCGAACCCCGTTCTGGAGAGGGCGATATGGTATTCGAAGTGGAAGAGCTCGGGAGGTATGCTGCGTATGTCTGGAATGTTACGCAATAAGGCTTGCTCCGGAACCCTACATTGTAAGTTTGATCCCCAAATTCTCCCTTGAAATTTGATCAACCCCTAATTAAATTCAGACCTAGGGTTTGAAATTGAGTGGAGTCTATTTCTAGGGACATAGGAGTGAGAATTGAACTTCGGGGTCAAAATTCTTGAGTTCCTGATGTAGTGGGGGAGAAGTATCGGGGAGGTTTACCTTCGCTTTTTTCCCCTCCCATGTTCTATTGGCCCCATTACTGTTGGGGTTTGTCTCCTGAACCTGTTTATTATTCTGATAATCCATACGTTTATAAGTGCACTCAATTTTGAAGTAATGTTGAGCTTACTTTCACCACCGATGATTTCATGGAGGTAGCGGTGCTCACTCCAGGATCTACTGAAAAGTACAAGGTAAGGTAGAAATCGCTGATTTTGGAGTACGCAATTCCGGCAATGTGGCTGAACCAAAACCTCCTTTCCTTCCTGGTAGTTATGACTAGTTGCCCCGAGATCTTCCAAACTTATTACCGGGAGTTGTGTGATACGCAGGGAACCCAGCTGGGCACCCGGCCTCTGTTGACTCACCAGGTCCCGCGCAGCCAAGCCAAAACCGGTACTCCCTATGCAACGGAAATTAAAAGAACTTGGAGAGACCTTTTCCCACTTTATTCATTCCATCACCGTTTTTAATTTCTCCGCGTACCTCTTCGGATACGGTAGTTCCTCTAAGTATCAGAAATTCCGGAGGAGCGTACACCCGATGTCGGTGATGTTGGCAACAGTCTAAGATATCGCAAGGGGTGCTCGTGGGTCCGGGCCAAGAATGGGCGCCTCTTTCGGAATAGCTCCCGGAGACCCATACAGGGTATAGTGGCTGTGCTGCTTGAGAAACTCCGGCGATAGCGCAAAATACTAGCCCGGTAAGAATAATCTCATATGTGAGACCATATTCTCAATACTCAAGAAGACTATTGAGCATTGAATTGGATGAATAGATAAAGCTCCTGGAGGTAAGTATATATCTGTAATTAAATTGAACATCAATCATAACACTCAGAATAGCGCAATGAAAGGAAAAAGTCTTACGAGCACTATGAAAGGGGCGATTATTGCGCTCCACAAATGCATCGGATCTGGTATAAGGTAATAATAGAAATGTTTGTGTCAGGGTTCATAATATTTATTGTATGTTGTAGCGGTCACATATGCACAACCCAAGAAGTAGCATCAACACCAGAGCCCCCACAGGTCCTGGAGAGCTATCCCGAAATAGGTGCCTATTCTTGGCTTGGACACACGTGTTTCTTGCCCGAGATTACGAGTGTTAGTGTGAGGCGTTTGGTGCGGCGGACTGCAGGACTGTAGTATTCGGCCTGAAGTTGTCGCGTAAGTTTGGGCAAGTTCTAGAAGGGGCAGCGGGATGTACCGGTAGTCGTCAAGGGCCGACTGGCTAGCCTACGGAGAGCACTGGACAAAGGCGAACGGACTTGGCATGTAATTCGGATGATTCTAAGTTTAGTCTAATCTAGTTGGGAAACAACCACAACGTTGAGCCGCAAAGGGCTAGTGCACATTTGGAACAGCTAGCGTCGCTTGTGTGGTGACACGATCAGTGCAGGTTACGAATGCCCCAGTAAATGCTCCCCACAGCCCATGGGAATCGGGCTGGTGCCGAGCTTCGATCACGGCTAGAGAGATGAACGGGTAAGAAGTTGGTGAACTTGACCGGAACGGATCACGATGGCGAGTGACACCCAATGTTCGCGCACGACGCAGCAGCTTCAATTACATCTCGGTCCCAACCCCCAGCTCACCTCGCAAACGGAATCTTGTTTCACGATGCTTTGATATCTGGTGCTTGTAGTGGTGCGGGCAACCGTGGCGCCAAACCTTTTTTTTCTGAGTCCTTGGAGTGTTCTGTACTTCCTCAGATTCTTAGTATCACTTGCCACGGCTAACTGCAAGTCTGCACTCGAAGGAAAACACGGATTTGGTACTTGGAAAGCAAGTTTCCGGCTTATTTGTAAAACAAGGAGTGTCTGTGGGTCGAAACTAACTCAGGTAGGATATGTGAGTGATATCTCATGATCAGACTTGTGGAAATGGCCGGTCGATAACTTATTTCTACCTAGATAACTCCTTAAACTAGATAGTAACTTGGTAAAGCGTGATCGCTTGGGGCGAGCTGATTTACAGAAGACCGCAGCATAATATGGGCTTCATGCTGCTTGACAGCAATTAATGTGATCTAGACATCCATTCTTTGTTTACTGCTTGCAGGTCTATGGAGATGTTGTTTCAAAAGTGGGGTAAGAACCCTGTATGGAGATACTAAATTTTCTTCAGCCAAAACAGTATTGCTGAAGTTGCGCTCTCCTACAACTAGCCTCGGGTGCCTCGAGTATCACCAGTTTGTTTTTCAGCTAATTCTATTTGTAGCTTAGCAGCGTTCTGACTGATTAAAATTTGTACCATTTTTACAGGGCCCTTAAGGGGGTGTACTGGGATATTAAGCCTCGGAGTGTTGTACATAGAGGAAAGGTCCACGGACCAAAACACCCCCTCAAAGATTGTCAAGGCTATTGATGGTATGTCACACTCGAGGCATGACACCCTTACACCCGCATGCAAAGAACAATTTGGTACCCTACTGTGCCTGTCCTAAATCTCCTCCGTACTCTCGGAAAACTCGATATCACAAAAATCACCTCTCATTTTTAGTGCTTGGTCCCTCTCCTACTTCTACTCAAAATGACATTAATCCCCGCCCACAGTGTGAGTGCCGATACCACTACACCTTCGCAAGCCTCACAGTCCCCAAATCTAACCATCGATACGCAATGCTACCAAAGGGACGTGCTTGAAGGAGTCGAGAACCGGCAATACCACAGTTCTAAATCATTCACCAAGTCAATCGAGGAGCAGATCGTGGAAGTGCTTTCTGGCAGCACTGGCCAGTAGGCAGTATTTTCTATTGTAAACCACCGGTACTCAGGGTAATGGTCCTATCGTTATCACCCCCAAGATTGAGGGGTATTGGGGATATCTCCGGAGCTAGAATAGTTTTTCTTTGTAATGCTTATGAGTTTTTTATTTGTCAGTGATGAAGAAGGTTCTGGAGCTTCTACAAAAAGGCTCATGTGCTAGGGAGCACGGTTGGAAGGCAAGGAAACTTGTAGCATGTGGGGATAGGAGAGCATAGGATTGGTTGACAGGAGCGGGGTAAAAAGAAGTTGGGAGAAGTCCAAGGAAATGTCAAGAAGAGGGGTAAAAGCGGAGTCACCTGGATTATGCTCAGAGACTGGAAGGAATTCTTCATTGTTATTAGTGTATATAAGAGCATATGGTGACCGGAGAAGAAAATAACGAACAAGGCGGACATTGTTAAGAAAACCAGAATACGAAATATTGATACCGGAGAAAACGAGAGACTTCCAGTACGCAGAACCAGAAACGATCAGGTACAAATCACAAAATTTTCCCTGTTACCCAACATCAATTACCAGTATCGATCAGATCGGCGACAACAGAAGGGACCCCGTTTTATATACCTCAACCGCGAACAAGCTTTGATTGCTGGAATCACGCCTGGATCTACGCACGAAGTTGCCAATAGGCGGTTTGCACACATGGCTGGAGCCAAGGCATGTGAGATGAGACTCAGGTACGATTTTGTCGATATGGGTAGCACGACCATAACTGCACCGGGTGGGCGAAAGGAAGGAGATTCCACCTTCAGACCGGCTGAATTTCGCCCTTACAAAGACTCTTGGCCCACCCTCGTCATTGAGTGTAGGGTTTCCCAGTCCCTGGCACGCCTTGTGGTTGATTCTCGCTGGTTGATGGAGAATTCCGGGGGAGAAGTCAAAATCGATATACTCATTTCTGTATCTGAGAAGGCAAAGCACATCCATTTAGAAAAATGGGAGATGAGGAGCGCGCTGAATCAACGCATCACAGGTCTACATCTCGGAGCCACCAAAGTCATACCGATAAAAATCCAGGAGGTCGGCATTGCCGGTAATGTGGTTACCGGTGGTTCTCTGCACCTAGAATTCGAGAAACTCATGCTCCGCGAATCCCATTCGGGAGAGACCGATATCGTATTCGATGTTGTAGAGCTCGAGAATTATGCTGCGTTTGTCTGGCATGTTACGCAATAAGGTTTGCCCCGGAACACTAAATTGTAAGTGTGACCCCCCATATTCTCCCTTAAAATTTGATCAACCTCTAATTCAGTTCAGAATTAGGGTTTGGAATTGAGTGGAGGCCAGTTTAGGCACATCGGAGGATGAAACGGTGTTTGAGATCAGGACTGCTAAGTTCGTAGGGTAGCGGGGGAGAGGTATCGGGGTGGTTTACATTCATTTTCTTTTCCTTCCTATGTTCTATTTCTTTCATTACTGCTGAAATTTGTTTCTGCGAGAATATTTACTATTCGTACGGTCCGTACGAATAATTCTTCTTATTTTTATTTTTTACCACACTGAATTGTGAAGTGCCTCTGAGTTTACTTTGTATCACCGTTTTGATAAAAAATAGGCGGTGGCGGTGTTTACAGTCGGGGGATATCAGAACATGCAAGATACGACGGGAATCACTGATTTTAGCCGACACCATTCGAGCCGTATGACGGAACCCGATCGAATTCCTACCCCCCCGCATCTCCAACCCCCCTCCTGTGGCCTGCCTGCCCCTCGAATTTACTATTCATACATCTCATCAGACTCTATTACGAGAAATGCTGAGTTTGTATCTTTAAGTTGGGACTCTGTAGTTTTCTAGTATATATCATAGCAACAGTAATTCTGTACACACTCCTTTAGTAGGCTATTCAAAGCACGGAAAACTGCTGCGTGACCTGTCCCGGCGAGTTTGTTATTCCCGAGCTTTTACTCTATGTGGTTGAAAACTAGTATTATGTAAGCCTCTCTTAGGGAAGCAAAAAGGAAAGGCCGGCGCGCCACACTTGCTTTCGCTGACTATGAGCGACAGAGAAATAGGAGGGAAACCGGCTATTAATATGATACAATTGTCAGCCTCAAGGGCTGACTTACTAGCAAACTCCAGAATACCTTTCGGGGGCCCACTGACTTCGCAAAGCCTCCCTAAATTATTTAGAGCAAGTAATTCGCTTAATCCCAATTTTATACCCTTATTCGGGAAACAACCGTGTAAACAAAGGCATGTTAATTTACAACAGTCTTATTTATTACCTCTTCTTGAGACTCCAGAGTGCTGGGCCACGGAGCGCTAGTGCACCTCTAGGATTTATAGCGCCATCTCTCTACCTGTACTTGTAATGATAAGACCAGTTCAAGTTATGACTTTCCTATTGTCCCGGGCAATCGAAATCTGCCCTCACGGTCAACT